AAGTCGGATGCTGATGTAAGACGTTTTGTAACTTTTAATAAAAAAAAGTATTCGCAAACTTTAATTTTTGTAAAATAACAATCGCTCGACCTTATACTTTGAAAAGGGTCATGCCTGAATGTTTATACGCGAACTAGCCCTTCAATTTTTTTAGATATCGATCTGAAATTTTCCACTTTCGTTCGAGCAACATCACCGTGATGAAATAATCAATATCGAACAACTATAGCACATATTTGCGACATGAAACAGACATATCAAAATCAAATTTGGAAACTGTTTAATTTGACAAAATATCTTGACGAATTTTAGCAATGACTATTGTATAAGGTAAGGCAAAAATCTGCGTGCATATACCTTGAATCGGACTACTATTGAATATWGCTGCCAAACAAACTGAAGTGAAAAAGAATAGCTTTGGATACGAAATGCACCTGTGCAAGGTTTTGAAAATCACTTACAACATTTAAAACAGTGACTTAAAGCTATTATTAGAATGATATTGAGCAAACCGTGTCCACTTCAATATCAGTCAAAATGCCGTGCCAGTGTAAGTCATTCTCGTAGATTTGTGTGCATATTAATTTTTGTGTCTATCGACCACAAAATAAAATGAGGCCAATGTGGCGCTTGCCGCTGTGGTAAAGTTATTTCTCATATTGTTTTTCTTTTAATAAGATTTCACTTTTGGTTTTGAGCCTTTTGTTTTTGTTATATTTTTGCATTATTCGTGCACAGCCGGTGCTCGAGCTCGTAATAGTATTACAATGCTGCAGCACACAATTGTTCTGTTTGAAACGAGGCAAAAACGGTCGCGTAACGATAACACCAACAACAACAATAATAAATGTGAAAACAAAAATAGCAAATGTTTTATTCTACGATTTTACAAGTTTTGTGAAATGCGGCAGCGATGCCGCAGTCTTAAAGCGCTTTGTATGCGATTGTGTGTTGCTACATATAGGAGATACACAACGGTAGAGGCCAGAGTGAGTGAGAAGCGAGAGGAGCGTTTTTAATGATGCGCCTTGTTGCATTGCATTGGTGGTGACTGCAGTGACTTCTTGGCGGTGCGCTCCTCACTACTTTTTCTATGTTTACCACTTCCTTCCATTTGCATTATTTTATTGCTTGTTTGTGCATTTTTTCAGTTTCTCAAAGTTATTTCGAGATATTCTATATTTTCTGGGTCATAACAGTTTAAATATACACAAGTATGTTCGGTTCTCGCCTTTGTTGTTATAATTTACCATGCTACACACTTGTWAACAACAAAAGTAATATTGCAACARCTGTTAAAGCAATCTGCGATTGTAGTAAGAAAGAACTATAAAAAATAATTTTAATATCTCCTGGACCTGTACATACAGAATATAGAAAAATAAATTTTTTTTGCTGCGTTTCTACAAATCTAAAATTGTCTACTTTTTTCATTCTTCCGAAGAAGCTGCTCATTTCTCGGAGCCGCCACCATCGGAACACTATTCCATACAGCTGACATAGAACCTGAAGGATCAAAATTAAAAAATAGTTCTTGTATGAAAAGCTTTTCTATTTTGAAATGAGGTAAGCTTGACCCAATATACGAGTATTTGAAAACGTAAATCTTCTTCAGCTGCATAAAATTGGAATTTGTATGCATCGCAGATCATAAAAAGGGAAATTTGTCAATCATTAAAAGTATTAATCTAAAACACACACACATGTATACATATTTTTATGCATATAAATATATTATATAAGTATACATTTGACAATTGAATTGCTGAAAATTCACACTTAATAACAAAAGAATATCAGGACCACTCAGCCCTAAACTCTTGAATGACAAACATTATGCCCATAAAATAGAATAACCTACATACATACATATATGAAAATATATGTACAAATGCACACACTCATGTTGTGTTTGTATTTTTTGTGAGCGCAAAGTAAAAAATATTAAAAAGTAAATACACGTCTGTAGGCACGTCTAATCAACCGTGATGAGTTACCGCAACAATAACAACATTGTACGAAAATTTAACTACAACAATATATAATATATGTGTATATGTATAAAGGGCATCAAAAGGCTCTATGCGATAATAAAGTCTACAGTATGGTGTACACTTTTATGTTTTGACTACATTCTACACATTTTAATGTTATTTTGCCACCACTTTTTAAGTAAAAACAGAAACGTGTTTGGCACGTGCGTTTAAATACATAAAGTCATTTCACTTTCTTTAGTCAAGTGATTCAGAAGACTTTCAGGTATATATGTATGTACATATAAGTCTATAACTGGAACTGTAGACACATCCATCTGAGCACTATACTGCAAAATTTTACCAATATAAAAACCACAGCCTAAATTTTTTTTTTCAAAATTCCTAACAAAAGTTGTATTACTACGAATGGCGCATAGATAGAGTTAAAGCCAATAATCTACATATAACATTTTCGGTCGGAACAATAACAACAACAAATATACAAAACAGGCAACTCTGTTATCCTAACAATATACTCGTAATAGATGGCTTGTATACTTGTGCAGCTTTATTGTCATATAAGTTTTAAGCCTTTCAAATATACAGAGATTTTATAAGTACAAGGTTGAAATTATTTAGTTATACTGTTGCAAGGATAGCAAAAATGAACAAACAAAAATCCCTATCAACTGTAGGTAAATCACATTTCTTATGTTCTAGGCAAATTAAGTGCCCACAATTCAGCATTCACTCATTTCAAATCAAACAGGGCTGTAGCTATCGCTGTAAACAATTAAAGAAGTATAAAGCAGAGCAAAGAAAGTTCCTATACAATGTCCATGCACATAAAGAGTTGTCTATATTGCGGCCAACAATAAGAACAACCACAGCCGGCACATAAGTAAAAATGTATGTATGTATGTATGAGCACCAAATCGGTTTAACTGTATAGATAGCAGTGCGCTTGGAGGCAAAACAATACCAGGCATCCAAACAAAAAAAAAAAGTGGAGCAAAAATACTTCATCTTATATAATATATAAATAACGCTTGTATAAAAGCATGTGCATGTACGTGAATAAGTGTGGCAGCCAGTCACCATAAACGCAGTCACTTCACCTCCACCTCCTGTCAATGGTGGTACACTTTTACCATCTGTGTATCCCTTTAAATCGTGGCTGAAATTAAACTCATGCCGGTTGAAATGTTGTCTGGCTTTAAATGGCTTGGCCTGGTTACTCCACTAGCACACTCTCAACTTAACTTGAACCTTAAAGATTTTATATCACATTTTGTTGTGTGCCTTTTTGATGTGAATGAAGGCTGTGTTATTCTTGTTGGTTGGGTAAAAGATGCCGCCGCGCTGGTTGATGTTTTCCGTTTTTTTTTTATTATTTCATTCATGAAAACGACAAACGTTTATTGACACACTTTTGTACACATGTACCTTTATATACATATTTACGGTGGCAAGTGCTGTGCATACACGACGACTATGCAAAAACAAAAACACAAAATATTTAGCGCTCTATATTTGTCCGTGTGTATGTTGGCAAGATTGTCTTATATCATACGGTCTGTATGTCAATTTGTATGTTATAAAACAACATGTAAGGTGACGTTGACCGCTGAACAGCCCAACTAGGCACGCGTTTGTTCATAGGTACATATCTATAGGTAATTGTATTCGAACGGCTACATCCGTCCTTACTAGTACCCACGTAGAACAAATTTTCATACTATTATGTAAGCATGTTTGTATTTATTTATTTATATCTGCATTTACATACATATGAATGTATGTGTGTATAGATGTAGTTGCATATTTATACACTCTGTGAATTGTTTGTTTTCCTTTTGATTTCTGTTCGTATTATAAATACTCTTTTATATTTTTTGTTGTGATTATTTTGTTTACCAGTTGTTGTTGGTCGTGCCATGTTGCCCTTGCTGATGATTTAAGGCGGCAAATTTTGCTCAACTCGAACGACAGTATGAATGAATAAAACGCGAGGGTACGACTCGACGTATTTTTACATATTTTTATACATACCTACATACACTGTGTATTTAAGTATGTACGAACGTATATGCACATACATAACTATAAATAGCGTTGGCATGAGTAAGCGTTTGGGATACCCCAACTAGAAAAGCATCAAGCTAGACGTTTATTGTTTGTTAACATCCAAACATTTTTTCTAAATTCCGCCGGTTGTTTTAGTCAGGTGAAGTGTTATTTTGGTACTAAAAGGTTTTACTAAAATTTTCTATGATAAATCTAACTATTGAGGGATGGATTAAATCATTGTGCACGTTTCCACATAAATTAAAACTTAAAAAACATGTTCTACCCAATCAATCATGTAGAATTAAAAGTACAATAGTTGTTATGTTTTCATAAGGCATTATGGTGCATTATAGAAGGATAAAACCTGTCGAGACCTCCGGGGACCATGAGGAATTGTCTTTGAACTTCCCTCTCCCTTCTTCACTGGTGCCATAGTATTGTAGGTTAAACCTACAAACCTTGAAGCCCAATGAATGGCTAGAACTACAAAAATATATAGGGCACAATGCATGTTCGACTACCAAAGGACTTTCATTTAAGAAATTATGTAATACCAACTGAACTATTAATTTTATACATTTTTACTCGGCACTTACCGGTGGTGGCGTTCGATAGGCCTGCGACGGTCCTAATTGTGGGCTATATGGACGTGGTGGTGGCGCCCATCCTTGTTGCGCTCCATATGGTTGATGTGGTGGAGGCGGCGGTCCATGTGGTCCGCCTTGTTGTTGCTGTTGCGCCACTTGTTGCTGCTGTTGTTGYGGATCATAACTATTTGCATAACGATGTTGTGGTGGCGGCGGTGGATGTGACGATTGTAATAAAGAATTTAATGTGGGGGTAGGACCTTGCGGTGGCTGCCCGGGAATATATCTTTGCTGTGGTGGTCGACTGGGAGAGGCTATACCGCCACCCGGTCCAGACGGCGGTCCCGGTTGTTGTTGCGGTTTGCCTCCAGGAGGTGGCTGTTGCATAGGCGAATGCCCATAGCGGTATGGATCAATATTTGGATCTGGATGATGATATCGTCCGTAAACGGGATGGTGTCCACCAGTAGGTGGAGGTGGCGGTCCACCCAAAGGACCTTGACCGTATTCGTCTTTTTGTGGATGCTCACCGGGGTTTTGTGGGACTCCAGGGCCTCCGGGGCCACTCTGCTGGTGAGACAAGTGTTGTTGTGGATGCTGCTGTTGATGCATATGATAATGTGATATTGCAGCAACTGGATCACTGCCAGGTGGTCCATATGAATGCGGAATTGTATGTTGTTGTGGATCATTACCGTTATTAGGCGCCGGTGGACCACCACTGGGTGGACCACCGCCTATGGCTGAATTAAGTGGAGTTGGACCACCGGGGACACCAGCACCTGGCCCACCATTACCGCTACTGCCAGTACTGCCAGATCCAACTGGACCACTGGGTCCGGTTGGTGGGCCTACCCCTCCTCCGCCAGCGGCACCACCCTGCCCAGAGGGTGATTTTATTTTCTCATTCATTACTTATTTGACTCAATCCCAGGTGTATATAATTTTTGCAGTTGCTGTTGTAAGAGGCTTCTAGTTTCCGTCAACGGCCGCTGCAACTGCACTGCTGAGTTATCTGTGTTAAAAATTAAAGGTTTATAGAATGAAAATATGGGAATAAAAAAGAAGAAACTTAGTTTATAATAGATATGTATATAAATAAATAAATAAACGCTTATGGTACGACCGGTTTTAATTGTGAACTTTGAGACTATTGCTCAAACACAAACTGAAATATTGCAAATGTTTTACATAAAGAAATATCAATTGATACAATGTATGAAAAATTTAGAATTTCAAAAGTTGGAATTGTTACAAATGTGTACTGCATATGTTCGTTCGTACCACCGTATCTCATAAATTTGAATTAGTATTTTAAAATTAAAAATTTATGTTAACTATATTCGTACATATCTGGATCCTAAAACTTAAAAATTTGTTCTGACCAAATTTAGTGTTTTTTTAATTGAATCAAAAAGATATGAACCTAACCGGACATAAAATTGTGGGAAGTTAGTACATATTTATAACAGTAGTTTGAACGTTCAACATAAAAGATATATATAGTATATCAATTTACCTAAACATAAATATTATGCATATATTTCATATAATTACTGTGCGAGTTAAACAATATTAATAAACTTTTCTTTCCCGTGAATTTTACTCACACTAAATGAAAACTGGTAACCTAATATTTAATGGTAAGTACAAAATATATCTCTGGAAATCATTTTTCAATAAAATAGCTTCTATTGCTGCTCAATTCGATTGGTTCGATGCTCGTCGAGGCATGTGTATACTTCAATGCACCGAGTAATATGTATTAATTCCGAAATTTGGTTTAATTGCCAACACCCCAAGTGCAAATGTGAATATGTATTATTTTTTCAATTGTGCTTTTTATACAGTTTTTCAAATGTATTTACATGATGTGGCCGGTAGAAGGAGTAAATCGTTGATATAGTGCAAAGAAAAAAGTCAATAAAATAAGAGAGAAACATCGGAATCAGTAGCGATTGACGAGGGCTGTGAACGATATAAACGACACGACACGGCCGCGATATAACAACGTCAAACATTCAACATTTATCCAACAACAACAACAATAAAATAGTAGTAGAAATAGACAGGAATACGATATAAAGAGAACGAATGTGAATCGACACAATATGGCAGGCTATAGCTAAGCGCAGCACACCACCCTACCGCGAGAATGCTCTTCCACTATTCTCCTCTAGACCGCTCAGCAACCCGTGACAACTTCTTTTAACCTACTACTTCTTCCCACTTTCGTAGTTGCGACAACCAGGCAACCTGGTAGAAGACAACGGCTGTGGTAAACACGCTCTCATTCAATGGCTGTGTTCGTAACGTTGTGTTGTTGTTGTGCTGTGTTATCGTGCCTTCATTATAGTTATCTCTTTCTATCTCATTCACTATACGTACGCATTAAAACATATCGTTTTGCTTGTCACACTCACGACTGCACAGCAGATACTTCTGTGAGATTTTGTGCAACGCGAAAATATGATTTTAATGATTTTTGGTAACTCGTATTTTTAATTTAATTTTACACATCACAGAGCAAATTTTATTTTATTTTACTTTCACATAAAACAAGCTTATATATTTAATTAAATATATGGTGAATTTTATAAATTAATTCCCACAATTTCCAAGGTAAAATCACTAATTTCCCATGCATTCGCACTAAGCAATCGAGACAACGAGTCGAAAGTACGTACGTATATTCGTATGGTTCCCGGACTTTTTACTTTGGATAGCTTAAAACAACATATTTTCAGCAGCAGTCGGTTCGTTTCATACGTCGTAATATCGTAGTACTTAACAACTCGTTGCTGCAGCGCGCACTCAGTGTTGCATTTTAATAGCAATACATGTGGAATTATACTAACGAGGCATATTAGTTTTAATTTAAAGACTTTCTTAAAGACGAAATCTTTTAAAATAAAAGTTAAAATAAACTAAATTTAATGCTTATTAATTAATATTTAAATTCAAATGAATTATTGATCATTATCGATGTGTTACTTTCTTATTAATTATTTACTTTAGTTGGTGAAT